AGTCTCTAAAAGGTTCGCCATCACTAAGATAAGGTGATTCAAACAGTGGTACAACCAAAATGTGAACTTTCACAAGTAGTGCTAGAAATTTTTGAATCATACAAGAAACTAAAAAGTGGATATTCAGGCAAAGAAATACAGCTGTACAGCAGATATTTCTGGCTGTGAGTCTCTAAGGTAAAGAGGAGGGAAATCTGCTCTGAAAGGGAAACCAGTTTAACCAAAACCCCTACTTGTTCCAATGAGACCAAAGAATCAGCTGTATTTCTACCGGGTATAGAGGACTTGTTATTACAGCAGTGGTTAGAAATTTTACAGCCAATGCACCATTCTACAACTGGGATATCGGAGGTCTTCTTGCATCTTCTTTAAATCCAACTACCAATGCTTTTAAAAAGAAAGATATGAAGAATAGCTATAATATTTCTTTCTTCATTTTTACGTGTAAGCAGGACTTTTTAAAATCAGTTAAGTGTTAAAGAAAACATGGTTAGGTCTGAGTTACCAGAGCTTTTAAAATTTAAATAGTACCACATCTTTTAAGCCTGGAGATAAATTCCTTTAAATCAGACATGTTTTCTCTGCTTCTATTTTATTCACTGAATAATACCAAAACCCGGTCTTAAGGCTACATTAACACTTCAAATTAAATACTGCATTTTCAAATATTCAGGATGAATGATAGCAGCCAGCTACAGAAACAGGAACCACTTAAATTAACATAAAAATATCTTATCAGTAAATACAGTATTAACAGTGAAATTAAAAGGAATTTAAAGCATCATATGCATGCTGGCATTTATGTATTTACAATCCACAGGAGCATCGCAGGAACTAGATCAGTGATGGCAAACCTTTTAGAGACCGAGTGCCCAAACTGCAACCCAAAACCCACATATGCATCGTTGGGTGCCGGGCAGGTGTGGCCCATTGGCTGGGTGTGGCCAATTGGGTAGGTGTGGCCTATTGGGTGGGTGTGGCTGCGGTGGTAACGGCAGACTGGGTGGGACTAAAAAGTTCAATCAATCAATTCCAACTTTGCAAGATCTTTTTTTCCCCCGCGAGAAGTTGAAATTGACTGATTGATTGAACCTTTTTTTTTTTTGCACACGGCGGCGGAGGCCTAAAGCGAAAAGGTGCCCCCATCCTAGGCCAGCTGAAGGCCTAGGATGGGGGCAACGGCGCGCATGCCCACAGAGAGGGCTCTGAGTGCCGCCTCTGGCACCCGTGCCATAGGTTCGCCACCACTGAACTAGATTGAGTAGGAATGCACATAGATGGGTTTGTATGTGCAATCTAGTTTGCTCTTAGAGGTTCTGAAAATGAATGGCAAATTCAAGCCAAAAATGTTTTCCAGGAATCAAATAAAACATTAGGTCAATGTATTTTTTAGTCTTGGCAACTTTAAGGTGTGGAATTTGATTCCCATGCCTGTCAATGTGACTGACCACAAATATAATGAGGAAGGAAAAAAAGAACTAAAAGTAAGACTGGCATGGAAGTGAACAGGTTTCTTTCATTGTCAGCACAGCACTATTCTATTTCCCATAAATATCATGATATTGTTCTAGAAAAATGAAGAGTAAAGGAACACAGTTAACTCCAAAATTCCAAATTAAACAGCATCAAGGATATGAACTCTCAATTTGGCTGCTTTAATGAAAGAATAATCAGCCTGACTTTATATTTAAAGCTTCTGACCATCAACTGTTTGTTCTCATCTCAACAAATCAGCTATCTTTGCTCTTTCTATAGTTGTCACTATAGAATAATCACATAGCATACTGAGTAAAATTCAGCAAGTCTGGTGATACTGTAGCTCTCCAGCTGTATAATAATGCTTTCTTGTATAATTTTAATTATGGTATGTGGCTACACTCTGACTCAGTAGTTATAGACCAGTGTAAAAAAATGGCAGATTTTGGCTTACTAAATGCTTTTAAGAATAAATGATTAAAAATAAAAGCAAAAAACCTTCACTATGAGCATATAAAGCATTTTAGACTAAGGAAAACTGAACAGTAGTTTTGGAATTCCAATTTTTAAAGACATACTGTGAATTAATTATCACAGTGGCCCACTATTCTGAAATCAGACCCAAAATTCATGTTGGTATTATCTGTACTTTTAGCTTGGGACCCCTCACAATTTTCATCACATACTCTATTTCTATAAAATATGCACAGTCCATTTTTAATTTTGCAGAAAATATCCTTAATTTATCAAGACTTTATAGGTAGTCCTTGACTAACGACCACAATTGAGCTCAAAATTTCTATTGCTAAGTGAAACATTTGTTAAGTTAGTTTTGCCCCATTTTACAACCTTTCTTGCCACAGTTGTTAAGCAAATCACTGCAGTTGTTAAGTTAATAACACAGTTGTTAAGCGAATCTGGCTTCCTTATTGACTTTGTTTATCAGAAGGTCGTAAAAAGTGATTACATGACCCCGTCATAAATATAAGTCAGTTGCCAACTCCTGAATTTTGATCACATGACCATGCTGCAACAGTTGTAAGTGTAAAAAATGGTCATGTCACTTTTATCAATGACATTGTAACTTTGAACGGTCACTAAATGAACTATTGTAGGTCGAGGACTACCTATACTTATAGATCCTGTTCAAATTTATATAAAAATCTTTGTTGTTGGCAATTGGGTGATTTGTTCATGGCTATAGATCTGTAACTTATACATTGTTTCTTTTAGAACATTTCATAGTCTAAAGATGAGCCAGTTCAGAATATAAAGTGGAGAAAGTAATAGAGAAAGGGGAGAGGAATGATGGGAGAAAAAGGTAAAGTTAAAAGCCTAAAGATAAGTGCTCTTCAAAAATATTGACGTTTGATTTATTAAGGAGTTGGTCTAATAACTTCGTGAAAACTATGAGTTTTGAAGAAGATACATTTATGAGAATGAAAAAATGAGATAGCACAATGCCCATGATTAAGGAAAGAAGAGCAGCAGTAAAAGCTAAGAATGAGTCATGCTGGTAAGTAAAAGGTTTTTAAGTGGTTGAGAGTGGTGAAGCGAAGGCTACAGTCAAGGATATCATGCAAATTGAAAGTCAAAACTTCGTGTAAGTCAAGGCTACAGAAAACTGAACATAAGGAATGAAATTTTCATTATTAATGACATATCTACTATTAATTTCCTTGGAACTGTTCATTCAGGTATGTACGCTTACACCATGATGTAGGTAATACTCATGCCTCCATCTTTACAAGACTCTGTCTGAACCAAGTTATGCATAGGATTCCTGCCTTGAACCATAGTGCCAATTTTCAAAGTGTTCGAAATGGACTTTGGTACTCATAAAAAAGAAGCCCAAGATCACTATAAAGCCTGGGGATTACAGGTTGCCTACTCTTCTTCTAGACCAGAGGTGGTCAAACTGCCGGCCCGCGGGCCAGTTTCATCATACCGAAGCCGCGCCCACCCCACTGCTGGCAATGCAAAAAGAGTTGCGATACGTCGCGACATGTCACGTGTCGAGTTTGTCACCCGTGTTCTAGGCCAACAGTTGAATCAATACAGGACACTACTTCTTTATTTGTGCTGCATATGGAGGAAGGAAGTGAAATGGTAGAAACAATATCGGAGATGGCAAAGAAATAAGAGTCACATAGAAGGATTAGGCAAGATTAGTACAGTGGAAGAGAAGAAGGAAAGGAATGGTAAAGATCAAGAAGGAAATTAAAAGCAAAGTTGGAGGAGGATAGGGATGTATTAAAGCAACTTTAATATTGCCACTGAAGGAAACAACGTCCTTAGGTAGACATTTAGAACAAAGGAGAAGGGTTAGCACATAGGGATATCATAGCAATACTTACTCTTTTACTGTTTATTTAATTAAGAAAGTAGATCTTTAAAGGTGTGGGTTCTTCAAGGGCCACATACAAATTTAATTCTATTTTTGTCATCCCATCAATTTTAAACAATATGATTCTTCCTTATATTATACTCTGGTTTCCAAATTTATAGGAAATCAACAACAAGCCATCCAATGGGAAATGCAAATGGAATTTATTGCTGTTCTAAAGGCCATATTATTTTTGCAACCAAGGATTGCATGCAACACAGATTGCCCATGCTTGGTGTAAACCAATGTACAGTATGACATTCCACCAACACAAATGGAGAGATGAATAGCAGGAGAGACACTGAGCAGATGCTACATGTATTAGTTCTCGTGAACAGAAAAGGCTTCATTTCTTCTGTTTTTAAATACCTCCTAAACTATGAAAGCTGCGTTTCTCTTAATTAGTGACTCAGGCAAAAAAAATAATCATTGCATTCAAGTTTCTACAAAGTAATAGTAAATAATGAGAGATGAGGTCTGCGTTGCAAAGAGCTGTACTGTCTGAAGAAGTTCTCATGATCCACCTGGGAAGCAGAGCCAAAGAAAGAATCCTTCCTTCATAAACTCCCATAGACATCTTTTAAATGATGTTGAATGCTACAGTGTTTGATTCCCGTAGCATGGAAAATGCTAATAGATATTGCCAAATAATTGTATAGTGCTGATCATTTGAAAAGCATGTCACATTCCCAGGGATAGCCTATATAATTAATTCTTTGTAAGTAAAAACATGCTAATTTGTTTACCATTCTAACAGTGAAATTTTTAAAAGCAAAAATTATTATGTTATTACTGCAGGCATTTAAAAGTTAAGTTACACCAAGGTGCAAAAGATAATACCCAATAAAATAGTATTAAACAGCAAAATTGTGAGAGGAAAGCTGTTTGCTGTAATTTACTTAGAATTTTACCTCAGTAGTTTATAAGCTCTATCCTCTTTATATCTGCATGTAGGTTTAGAAGTTTTGATGCAGATATAAAGAGTTGTGGATTACCTTGCTCTTCTGAACAGTCAGGTGATGTTATTTGCATTTTCTGAAAGTTTATTAACATTAATTCCTAACAGACGTAGAACATGCACAATTTTACAGTAGTAAGACTAATGAAGGTGATACAAATTAATCAGTGATATACTTACAGTTGCATTTTTTCTGCACAAATCTAAGCTTACATGCTGTTCGGTAAGTGGACAAACGGATACGATCCAGATCTTGAGCCCCTAATGGTAGAGAAATATATGTGCTAAGATATATGTGTTCTGTGCCTAAATCTTACCCAACAGTACTCAAATAAGCTTTCTCTAGGATATTTTGGGGGTTTTTATTACCTACACAGAATAAGTTAATTTTGGGTAAAAGCTTTTACCAAAGGGGAAGTTCAAACTTTCAATTTATTACATTAAAAGCCAATATAGTTTAATAATAATAATAATAATAATAATAATAATAATAATAATAATAACAACAACAACAACAACAACAACAACAATTACAACAACAACAACAACAACAATAATAATAAAGTTGGAAGGGACCTTGGAGGTCATCTAGTCTAACCCCTTGCTCAGGCAGGAAACCCTATACCAGGGGTGTCAAACTGCCAGCCCACGGGGTGGATGCGTCATGCCGTTGCTTCATATCCTGCCTTCAGGTGCTTTGGAGAATAGCTTGACTCCCTCTTCTATGTGACAGCCTCTGAGATATTGGAACACTGCTATCATGTCCCCCCTTGTCCTTCTCTTCATTAAAGTAGACATGCCCAATTCCAGCAACTGTTCCTTATATGCCTTAGCCTCCAGTCCCTTGATCATCTTTGTTGCTCTTCTCTGTACATCGTGGTGATCAAAACTGGCTGCAGTATTCCAAGTGTGGCCTTACCAAGGCATTGTAAAATGATATTAACACTTCACGTGATCTTGATTCTATCCCTCTGTTAATGCAGCCTAGCACTGTGTTGGCCTTTTTGGCAGCTGCAGCACACTGCTGGCTCATATTTAAGTGATTGTCCACTAGGATTCCAAGATCCCTCTCACAGATGCTACTGTTGAGCAAGGTACCACCTATACTATATCTGTGCATTAAATAAATATGTTGCCTGACTCCCAATATGATCAAACCACAAGCAAACAATATAAAGCAAATACCAAAAGCTGAGTGCCAATAGAAGAAAAGTTCTTAAAATTAACAGTTTAGTTTATCTAAAAAGCTCTTTTGAACTGGACTCTTGATGACTTCATGGACATTTCCTACAGATTTTATGTATGTATGTATGTATGTATGTATGTATGTATGTATGTATGTATTGCCAGAGGTCCTTCTGAAGGCGGACAAAGCATGGTAAGCTGAATAATAAACTCGCACAATTATTTCAGTGGAAGTTTAATCTATTGATTATGACAGGGAAAGAAAATCTTTCTGCAACCAAGGGCAAAAGTTGTTATTTTTTAGCAGCCATGAGCTAAGGCAGGGATCTGACACCATTACTGAAGTGCCAGGCTGGGTTTGAAGACTTTTTTGTTACTTGGAAAATTAAATTTTATCAGTAATGGACATGGAGAATTAACACGCCTGTTCCTTTAATTTTCTTCCTAGTATTTGCAGGAAATCATACTAACATAATTTTGTGGTTTACTCTCCCAAAGAATTTGGTAAATAATTTGGGAGGCACCAGACCTGCATAAAAAAGGCTTCTGCTGTTAATAGTGAATTGCCCTTTCCTGATTTATGTAAACCAAGCTAGAAAAGCAGTCAGATACAACTGTTAGCATCAACTGTGAGTCAGTATCTTTGCTTGACTGAAGCTGATATGTTATCTTTAAACCAGATATGACCTACTTACGGTCCTTGGATAAATTTGTTTATAACATTCACTGGAGAACACAGATTGCAAGAGGACTCTTTGCATGAGCACTTACTATGTTCTAATTCATCCAGTCTATTTGTAATGTTGGAGCAAAGGTTATCCTAATCTGGGGATCTGTGAGAAAAAGGCAGGAAAAAGAAAAAAAATAGTGCTCTACTCTGAAAACACAAATCTGTTTTTTTATTACAACTAGGCTAAGATAATTGTCCAAGGTAAAATAAAACAACTTCAGCCTTATGATTCAAAGATACTGTTTACTCTTTTCAGAATATAATGAAATATGCTTTGGTTATGATAAAATAATGAAATTTAATTAGCAAAATGGAAGCATTTCATTGGTTAGCCCATTAGCAAGAAGGTTTTATTTAAAAGATGTTAAGAAAGGGTTGGTCTAAGATGGAGGTCTCCAACTCTCCACTCTTTATTGCTACTAACAAAACTTTTACTTATTTTTTCCTTTTCACCCACTAAATACTCTAGACAAGTTCCTTTTACCAACAAACTGCTTCACTGCCATTTGTTGCTGGCAAAGATTGTCCTGAACCATTCAGTGTTTCATCCTGAGAATTTACTTTAATTACTGGTCATGTTGTCAAACACATAAGAAACCGTTCCAGTGATCCCCAGTTTTTTTTTCTTTTTTATTGTCATATGTTAACTATTGAATATTGCTAAGTTTGCTTTTTTCTTTTTAAAATATTTCTGGGATTTTTTAAAATTTTGTTTTAGCACAGCTCTGTTTCATTCCCTGTCAAAGAAATACATTTATTTTTTTTAAAGAATTGAGTCTTTTGAGGAACTTCCATAATAATAATTCCTCAAGTATTAACTGGGTCATTAACAATGAGAATAAATATTAGTAATACAGATCTACAAGATCTATTTGAAGGAGCAATCCATCACATTAATGTCAAGATGCAATTGAAATGCATCTGCAAAACACTGATATAGCTTTGGATCTTTATTTATATATAGATATGCTTTAGATGGCTTCAGATCAGGGGTCTTCAAACTTGGCCCTTTTATGACTTGTGGACTTCAACTGCCAGAATTCCTCAGCCAGCGTGCCTGGCTGAGGAATTCTGGGAATTGAAGTCCACAAGTCATAAAAGGGCCAAGTTTGAAGACCCCTGCTTTAGTTGTTTAGATGACATTAGTTTGCTGACCAGGTGCATTGTGAAGGATTCAATTCAACTGCAAGTTAAAGTATCTTAATTAGAGTGCACAGCACACTGAATTTGAAGGAAAAGAGGTCATTTGGAGTGTGTGGCATTTGTCTGCATATCTCTTCCTGCTATTACATAGATGTCCCTCACTGGCACCACACGATTTTGGGGAAAGACACATTCAGGTTAAGAACTGCAGACAGCTCCTACATGTATGACTCCTTATAGTTCAAAAATCTTTTGTTGCTTTTCAGCCTGAAGCATTGCATGCTTCTAATATTAATGTCAACGTCATACTGTTTCAATTCTACCCACAAATTAAAATGTCAAACATTTGTATTCTGGCAAACTTTTAAACATATTTAAAATTAAGAAACCAAAAGTATGATTTTAAGAAACCCAGAAAAACGTCAACGCATTGCTTGGGATTGAACAATCCAAAACAGATTACATAGAACAAGACACACCTGAGATTATACAGAATTAGAACAGCCTTTGCCTTTGCTTTCTAAGCACTGGGGAAAATTCAGTCCCAGCAAATATGGTCAGCATCCAGTGAAGAAAATTGAATTATAGTGAGAAAATATATTTGAGTTTCAGTATGGTTATTGGTGAGAAACAATGGCTTTGACTTTCACATTCCTTTTCTCCCAAAGAGAAAATACTAGAAATATTTAGCTCTATGTCTGCACTGAAATAATAAAAAAGCAGCATTTTGTCAATTAAATGTAATTTCTTGCTCCTGCTTTGTGTTAAAAATTCTTGTTTTGTAGAACAAACTGCCTATAGCCCAGGGCAAAAATCCATGTAATATTTACCACGGGTATATTCTATCTTGTTGGCCTTTCCCAAGAAATCTTACATCTGTTGGAAAAACAACAAAACAAAATATAAAATGCCATAGCACTTACGCATTTCTGCAAACAGCTGCCTCCTTTCTGCCATGGTAGCGCCTCTTTTCCCACAATCTTCAATCATTCTAATAAAAAAAAAAAACACATATCTTCAGGACCATTTGCAAACTAAGGACATAAAATATAAGAACAGTTCCAGTGCACTGTTTTTCCAATTCTATATTCATTTATTTATTTGATTTCTAAAGCCTCCCATCTCAACAAAGGACTCTAGGCATAAAATATAAAAACCATTAAAATTATTAAAAGAGTACAAAATAAATATATATGGCAACAAGTAAAAGTGTTATTATGGATATCAATATAGTCTGGAAATGGGGCCAAATCCAGTCTAAATATCTGGCTGACTGTGCAACCAATCATAATGCTTAAAGCCATTTGAAACTTTTATAAAATAATTATACTGAAATGTGTTCACCATTGGGAAAAAAAGGAAGAACATATAGGTCAGCTTCAGTTTAATTTCAGTTCAGTTTAGTTTAAAGTGTCTTATGGAGAAATAATCCATACGTTCCCATAATGGATTTTAAACTTCAGATTATAAATTTCAGTCTGATTCCCTTCCTGCATTTAACAACAAACATTTATCTACCAGCAGGTTTTTTTCAGTTATACATTTAACACCAATTCTTGGATAATATCAGAAAATAGTTCTATGTTCTTTCATAAAACTTTTTATAATTGAAAAGTGCTAGTAGCATCGGTCTGTTCTACACATAGATGAGGTATGTACAGCGTGGAAGGAAAAAAAGAGCTGCTAGTTTACATCAAGTGTAATAATTCAATAAGTGTGTGTTCAATTTTTGCCTAGCAAGAAGGAGAAGGAGGAGGAGACGGAGAAAAGATTTTTAAAAATACTTCTTTGATTAAACTCTATTGATGATGGCAACCATTATTTCTATTGATAAAAACAGGTTTTTCTTGTCATTTCACTATAAATAATGAAACAAATTAAATGTTATCATTTGATCCATAATTAAATTATGTTTATTTTACTTTAGAGCTCCTGTCGGGGGCTTCTTGTGTGAGAAATACTTTAACTGTTGGCCCATATTATTTTTCTGATATAAACTTCCCCCAGAGTCTATTAATATTTTTTTCATAATATACAAATTCCTATATATTAACAATTTTTCCTCCAGTAGGGTTAAAAGCAATTTTAAAGATGAACAGCAAGAGCAGAGAAAAGTTAGCCCATTTTTCAAAGCTAACACTGATTTTAACATCAGATAAAATAATATTATAAAGGAGATCCAGAAATCATGTATTTTTCTTTGTTTGTACAATATAATATAATATGAGTCTACAATAATGTGTCTATTTATACATCCATCCCCCTTCATCCATGCATCCAAGAGTGATTAATACAACAGAAACTAGATACAGAAAAATATTTATTTTGGCTTCTCCCTTCTTCAGCTGTTATATTCAGTGAATATAGTACACAAATTTCTCTATAATATCCTAAGTATCTACATTAGACAAAAGGAAATGTATAATAGTTCACATACTAAGTCAATTTTTATTTATTAAATTAATAAGTTCTGGCATCTGTAAGTGTAACATTATGGTCAGGATAATTAACCAAGTTAACCAACATTACAACGGTAATATTGTAGCAATATTGATATTGGACATCAATTATATTCCTTCAAAATAGTTGGATTTCCTAGATCAGTCTTCCAAAATAGCAAGTACTTATTTTATATATATGCAACGAAATCTTGTGATAACACAAACTTTATGTCAACATGCTTTAAACTAACTATGTAGTATGGCAATCTGAGAGGATAAATTCTTTATGACTACTATTATAACAGCCCATGAAATGGGAATAGGATTTGAATCATCCACTATAAAAAGAAAAAATATGAAGACTCTGAAAATCTTATGTTAGGTTGTATTTAGGAAGAACCAGTTGTTCTTTCATTTATAATACATCAAAATCATGAAAGGACATCATAATCAAGAAGGTCATTTATCATCTCTGGAAAGAGAATCTCCACAAAAGGACCTCACACAAGAAGGCAGGTTATACTGGTTCCATCCTTAAAGTTAAGCTAAGCATGTTTCCAATTTTATACAGATGCAATACAAATTAACCTTGTTTTAAAGCAGCAAAGCAGTTGTATCAGTATTTTCAGAATTGCTCTAGAAGAGGCTGATGGGTACCTTTTGAAGTGAAACAGTTTGTTAATGGAGTTACTGTTACCTTCCGTTAGAGGTATTTAATGGTTTCTTCTGAGAACTGAAATTACTTAAATTATCTGAAGAAGTAAATGCCATGCATCACTCTCAAGCAACAAACTCAGGTAGTTAGACTGAAACAAAATGGGGGCTTCTGAAAACAATGAGAGAGATAATAGCACTTATAGATAAGCCCAACTGTTAAAAAACAAACACACAAAAAATGACTGGCCTAAAGTTACTCAGTAAACTTCCATGGCAGAGGCTGAATTTGAACATGTTCTCCTGGTCCTGCCTAGAGCACAAATCACTACACCATATTACCTTAGATAGTATGGACCCCTTACAGCTTGCTGAATTCTTGGGAAAGGAGTGGTAGAGCTACAAAGAGAAGTACTAACAGAAGCAGTCATTTTAATATGCAAAAATATATTGCTTTTTTATTACAGAGGCAAGCTGTGTTCTCATTTCTGAATACTTTAAAAAGCAAGCATGGAAAACATGAAAAACCACGAAAACCTTTCTGAGAAGGTTTAATATGCCATTATTCATTATTTTGAAATTGTTAATACTGTGCAATTCAGCTTTTTCTGATGTTTTATGTCATACTGCTTATGCTCTTTCTCTTTATTTCAAAAGCAAAGTGTCAACATCAATCTTCCTTCATTTGAGTAAGAAATGCCAAGGATAATGTTTACTGAGATGCATTTAGAGATACAGGTCCTTGTGAGACTTGTGGAAATGTATTTTTAAAACTTTCTAGTTGCAGCAAAGATTGAACATTCTTGAAGATAATTCATGTAGCTGGGCAACGTTACCAAGATGGACACAGCACTTCTACTTAGCAAAAAGGATTTCAAGATTTCCACTTTGCATTTTAATGGCTTAATCCAAATATTGATTTTTCCCCCAACCAATGATGGGCCAAGTTCTTGACACATGTCTGAGATTATTCACAGCATATACATGATCAGGCAAGGGTTGTATGGGGATCTTTCCTTATAAGATACTGTTAGCTTAAAAGATGGGCATTTTGTGTAGGTTTAGAAAAGTTTTCTTCTGAAAAAGCAGAACCCAAATCCCTCAGTACCATCATTGCCTCTTTGGCTACACCAGGATGCTACTAGCTAATTCAAATATAAAGGGTGAAATCCTGCTGAGCTCCATAAATCTACATATCCATGATGATGATGTACTGCTGGGGTATTTCATCAAAAGAAAAAGTTTCTTGGGGAAAAAAATTAAGCTTTTTTGAAAATTTTTAAACAGCTCTTCTGATTATCTAATTTATCCCTGAAAAATTAGATTCTGGCACTAAGTATAAACTCTGGAAGCAGGATCATAACAGTTTTCAGTTAACTGAAGACCAATGCTACAGCAACATTCAATTACATTTTTTTCTTGCTGCTGTCTCATTCTTTATAATAGGATTTTCATGAACTTAACTGTCTGGATATGCTAACCAGTGCAACATGGCACCCATTGAGTACAGTCTGCTCAGTATCTGATTGTCTGTGCCTCCTGAATCTTGCTTTGTAGTTTAATTTATAACAATTATCATTTGTTTGTACTATGGAACAGAATTAAAATATCTGTTCTAATGGTGCCACCATTCTTAATTTCCTTGGACTGCCTAAAATGAATTAACATTTTGTTTGCATGTTGTTTTGCTTCCAATTTTCAGTTCATTAAGTGTAACCTACCACACCAGATCCTGGAGTAAACAGTATTCTGCTAACTTCACCTCATCTAGATGTGCTAGACTTCAACTTTCATAATTCCCAGAAAATAAGGCCAATAGTTATGCTGCTCAGACTATGATTCATAGAATATACGGTGGGCCCTGCATTAGGACCAAAAGCTATTCCTGAAATATTTTTCTTATTCTTAGCAATCAGGCACAAACGGATGATGGAGTGGGATAACCCTTTCATGACTGTACTGCTATTGGGTGCATTAAGAAAAATGTGTAGAAGAATTTAGTTTTGGCCTTGAGAGGAATGAGGGAGAGCAAAACGGTTGCTTAGTTGTTGGAAAATGACTCAGAATAGCCCTACCTTTACCTTATTGTCATTCAAAAGGAGGCAAGAAAAAGTTAGAACAGACTTTAAAGACTCCGTTAAACAATAAATAACATTCCTGGAATCCTTGTTTTTTTTTCTTGTTTGTCTTGAAGGACCTTGAAGGAAGTACGAGCAAGCTGAGTCTATTTAGCATCTTCAATCACAAATTCAGAAACCAGTTCAAGAGAGTTGTTATGTAAGGGCTGAAGGAGCTTTAGTGGCTTCCTAAGCTGCATGGTTCTTTTGAATTAATTATAGCTTCTTTTCTGACCATGTTCAGTGAGAACAGCACAGTTCACACTATTAATACCTCTTGCTCAGGTTGTGGTCCACAGTGGAAGAGGCTCGGGGACCAGGGTTCTGCTACTGACTCTGCATGCCCAGGAATACTGTATGCTGTGCCTATTTCACCTCCAAATTAATAACAGCATAGGGAAAGGATTTGCACTGAAGGACTGATATAGGAAGTAAAGCCATTGCTGGTTATAGAAGAGAAATAAATTAGGACTTCGAGTAATGCTTCCAGGTTGGGTTGGTATTTGGTGCTTGGCATAAGGAAAATTAAGAATGTATCTCTGCTGAGTTGGCCTTGAGCAACAACTGTTCCATGAAAACTGGATCAAGCAATAACCAACCTAGAACAACTATATGCTTGTATGCACATGCATGCATGTGTGCATAAGATAAATCTTGGAAAAAAGAAAACTTTGCATATTAAAGTGCTGTGCTAATTATAACAAAGAAAAGGCAATTAAAACGATAGAAGGCACAATGAAACATATTGGAGTTTTTTGTTCCTGCATTTAAAAAGAAA